TGCTTCGTGTGCGGCGGCGGCATCGCGCGCGGCCGGGCGCTGAAGCTGCAGGTGCGGCGTCCGGGCGCCGGCGCCCCCGCGCGGCCCTTCTTCCCGTTCCTGCTGCGCCAGGAGCCGGCGCCCGGGGCGCGCGGGCTGAGCGCGGCCGACGGCTGCGTGCTGGTGTGCGCCGTGTGCCGCTGCTTCCTGGGCGAGCAGTGGGCCGCCTTCGAGCGCGCGCGCACGCCCGTGGACCAGCGCGTGTACTGGCTCAAGCGGCCGCACCAGTGCCACGCGGGCGCGGGCGCGAGGGCGCGCGGGGCCGCGGGGGCCCGCGAGTGGGACGGCGGCGACGACGCGGACGACGGCCCCGGGCCCCGCGCGCCCGACTCCGAGGACGCGCGCGACTCCGAGCTGTCGGAGCTGTCGGACCCAGAGCCCCCGTCGGAGCCGGAGCCGGAGCCGGAGCCGGAGCCGGACCCAGCCTCTCGCGACGCCGCCGCCAGCCCTGGACCCGACGCGTCTCCTGTGCCAGGACTCCCGCTGGGACGGGGCGCTGAGCCCACGGCGCGCGGGGAGGTGGAGGACAGGCTCCCCTCGAGGCTTCGCGCGGACCTGGAGCCCCAGCCTGCAGTCCGGCGCCGTCGCAAGGGGCCTGGCAGACACTGGGCCCCCGAGCCGCGGGCCAGCGTCCTGAGGGGCATTCAGGACACTTGGCAGGGCCACCCCGGCCGAGCAGCCCCTTTGGAGGGCGTGGACAGAGCCCCCTCGGGCAAGGCCGCAGGGCCCCCAGAGAGCGCGACTGAGGAAAGCGACATCAACATCACCAGCGAGGAAGAGGACCCCCAGGAGCAGCCTGCCCAGGGTCCCAGTGGCCCCAGAGAGAAGGACAGCAGTGGCCGCATCCCTCCGGCTGTCCCAGAGAGCCAGAAGGTGCCACCAGAGGGTCCCTGCTGCTACATCTGCGGGTCGGCGCTGTCCCCGGCCTCCCAGCACGAGGTCTACGTGCAGAAGCAGGAGCAGCTGCCCCAGGCGCCCTTCTTCCCCTTCCTGTGGTTGCACAGCCCGCCGCCCGGCGCCTGGCCCATCAGCGAGGCGGGCAGCACGCTTGTGTGTCCCTGCTGCTTCGAGTCCCTCCGGCAGCAGTGGCAGAGCTTCGAGTTGGCCGGGGTGCCGGTCCTGCAGCGCCTCTACGTGGTGCCCCTGAACAGCCGCGCCCCCGGCATGGCCTCCAAAGGCAGGCTGCTCCCAAGGGGCAGGGACGAAGGCCCGCCCCGGGCAGCCCTGCCTGAGGCCTGCTACCTGTGCGGCGAGGACTGCACCCCTGACGCCCGGGCCGTGCCCTCCCGCATCCTCAACGGCAGCGCGCGTGGCACCATGCACTTCCCCTTCCTCAGCCTCCTGCCCTGCCCGCCCAACGCCCAGGCCCCCAACAAGCGCTCTGAGGTCCGCAGCTGCCCCAAGTGCTTCAGCGTCCTGGAGGACGTGTGGGCCCTGTACCGGACTTGCCAGAACCAGGAGCTCATCACCTCCGTGCAGGGCTTCCTGGGTCGCTACCACCAGGCCTTCTCCGCCTCTGACCCCGCCGTCTGCGACCCGCCCGCCTCGGCGCCTGGTGCCCCAGCTTCCGTGTGCTACATCTGCGGTGTGGAGCTGGGCCCGGGCAAGGAGTTCCAGCTCAACGTGAACCCTGCCAGCCGCCTGGGCGAGAAAGAGCCCTTCTTCCCCTTCCTGACGGTGTACCCGCCTGCCCCGCGCGCCAGGCCTGCCGACGCCACCGGCCTGGTGGCCACCTGTGTGCTCTGCTACCACGACCTGCTGAGCCAGTGGCTGCAGCACGAGGCCCAGGGGTCGCACCATGCGGTCAGTGCCTGGTCCCGGCAGTACCAGGTGGACACCTTCGTGTGCTTCTTCTGCCAGCAGGAGAAGCGGCGCTGCCTGGGGCTGACCACGGTGCGGGTGGCCCGCCTGCCCCTCTTCCTGTACACCCTTCGAGCCAGCCACAGCCTGCTTGTGGACGATGGGCGGCAGCTGATCATTGGTGCCTGCCTGGAGTGTGGGACCCTGGTGTGTGCGGGCCAAGGGCTCACTCGCCCGGGGCCCATGGGGTGGAGCTCCCCGGTGGCCACAGCAAGAAAGGTAAGCAGCACGTTCATCTCATCTTAGATCCTTCTTCTGAAATATGTATGGGGGAAGGGAGAGACATTTTTGGTTTCCCTGGTTCTTTTCGGTCTGTCCCAGCAGAAGGTGCCCTTCCTGGGTCACTGGATGTGCACTTGGGTACAGTGACCCTGCTGACCCAGAGGCCTGGGGCAGGACTGGTGCAAAGGAAGAATAGGGCACTGGTGACAGCAGCAGGCGTGGGTTGGGGCTGGGCATGTTGGCTGTGGAATCTGTCCAACAGGAAGTTGGGGGCACGGCTGTTGCCTGCCTGATATCCCTGCAGAGTTCCTCTCCGTCCTGGCTGCCGCTGCTGAGCTCTTCCAGAGTTTTCTACTCAAGTTCACCCTTCTCATTTGAGACTTTCTGGTGCTTAGCGGCAGATGGCAACAGATTTCCAGACGTGGGGGCGTGGGATCCGGGGACAGTGGCCTCGAAGACTTCCCCGGCCGTGGCGGGAAGCCTGTCTTCTGTGGAAGTCTGCTGTGCCGGGGAGACCGCGGAGCCGAGTCCTCCTTCACAGGCACCGGCCTCCCAGGAGCTGCCCAGGGCTCCGGGACTGGGATCTGCTCTGCCTAGGGAGCCGGCCCTGGTGGGGGCAGGGACACACACGCTAGCGGCAGTCCCTGTCCTGGCCACCGGGACCCAAACTCCACCAACACAGTGGGCTGGCTCGTTTCGGCAAAGGCCTGTAGTGAGTGGTGGGCCCAGACAGGGGCCACAGAAGGACACGGGGGTGGGTACAGTGCCCCTGTCCTGTTCAGGACCGCGTGTCTGTCCACACGGTCTGTCCACAGTGCTGCTGTGATGTGTGTGTGTGTCACGTTTGCGGGTGCCTGGGGACACGCATATCCGCAGCACGGACCCAGCTATACCTTTGCCCCCCTCCCCACCTTTGGACTCTGCCTGGTGCTGCTCCATCGGCAGTGGCCTCGGACCTGTTGGGCGGTTGGCTGGGCTGTCAGTGCGGCCATCTGGGTAGGTCGCCCCAGCTGCGTGGGATCCTTTCACTTGTGGCAGGTGGCCATCCAGCCCTTGGGAGGCTGCTGACAGTCAGAACCGCGATCCCCGAAAGGCTGATGCTGTGCCGGGAGAGGAGCACAGGCCCTGGAGCAGGATGGGTCCTGGCCTGGGTCTGCCCTCTCACGTGGCTGGCCAAGCCACCGGCCTGGACACTTCTCTCTGGTCCTGGCAGCCGGCCCATCAGGTTCCTTGGCTGGGAAGTGGAAATACATCCCCCACCGGAGGGGACATGGCAGCAGTTAGAACTGGGACATGTAATTGCTCCCAGGTCAGGCACAGCGAGACCTTCACGATGTCACTGTGTGTCAGGCCATGGGGACAGCGCTGCGTGGTGTTCGGAGCTCCTGGGATGCAGGTGTTTGCGGAGCACCACGTGGTGGATGCGTCTTCCCAGGTTTGCTCACGTGCCAGGGCAGGTGAGATGCAGGCTGTGACCTCCACTGAGAGGACCTGGAGGGGACAGAGAACCTTGGTGGCCTGGGTGTGGGCGTTGAGACTGTGCGGATGGACACGCAGGCTGGTGTCCACCCACAGGGCCAGCTCCACACAGTGGACTTGTGCCATTTCTAAAGCACGTTGTCCCTGGGCTGCTTCCTGTGTCCTCGGTGCCATCTTCCTGTCCCATAGATGAGCGCATTGAGACTTGGAAGCCAGAGGCCTTGGGGAGCACAGCCGGGTCTCGAACCCAGGTCTCCTGCCCTACCCCATCTCAGCTGAACCCCGGGGAGCACAGAGGCAGACAGAGGTGGGGAGCGGCCTGCAGGGGACGAGGGGACGGGTTGGCATGGGCTGGTGTCCTTGAAATCAGCACAGGAGGTCGGGGCTGGGGCTGAAGGCCAGGAACCAAGGTGTGGAGGGGTCGGGCACGGGCATCCTGCAGGGACACTGAGCACCGGTGGGGAGCTGGGGACCTTCGGGGGCGGGAGCGTGTGACCCTGATGCCAGGGCTGGGAGGAGGCCTGTGCCGGCTGGCTTCCCAGCACTGGCTCCAGATTCCCGAGTTCTTACTTGGTTTCCTTTGCCAGCCTGTGGTTGGGGACCTGGGGAGGGGGCCACAGGGAGGCCACTGGGTGGGGACCCAGCACACTCTGAAGCCTGTCCCTGGTGCTTCTGGTGACTCCTGAGCTGGTCCCCACCAAGCGCCTGCTCCCCAGTGAATCGGCCTTCAAAAGGAAACACTGAAAAAGGACTGGAGGGCGGGTGGGGACAGTGTCCACCAGTGGGGCCCTGCGTCCCACTCCGCGCTCACCACGTGGGCCCCACAGGGTCCAGGCTGGGCAGGGAGGGCTACGGCCTATAGCCCCCAGTACCCCAGGTCCGCTTCGGGCAGACCCAGGTTGAGTCGTCTTCTGCCCAGAGTGCGCTGTGTGGCCTTGAGCCAGATGCTTGCCCTCTCTGCACCTGTGTCGCCGGGGCGGGGCTGTCCACGCTGACCGAACCCACACTACAGCCGCATGGAGGTTGGGGCCACCGTTCCTGTCACGTGGGTGAGAGTGATCCAGAAGTCAGGCAGCTCAGCAGGGAATCTCAGCCAGTGGCAGTGGGGCCAGCCTTGGGCCAGGAGCCTGGTTGGGTCCATCCGGCCATCCCGTCCTGCTGCTCTGTCCCCCGGGGCTCCAGGTGCAGGTGGCAGTGACTGGGGGGCCTGACGCCCTTAGTGGGCTCTGTCCCTCTGGGAGGTGCCCTCAGGCCTGGGCTGTGGGCAGCTTTCGGCCGGGCACACCTGGCCGGGCCTGGGCATGGCCGGGGCCCAGAGCAGGTGGCAGCCGTAGCTGCCTTCCCTGGCTGCACACAAGGCCAGCGAGGTCTGCAGTGCCGGCTGTCCCTGCCGCCTGTCCGCGGCTGCACATCTGTTTCACTGCTTCCTGCCTCCAGGCCCACATGGCAGCCCCTCTCCAGCGGGGCTCCTGGACCCCCAGCCAGGATGCACGCATGCACGCACGCGGGGCCTCCCGGTGGTGCCCGAGCCAGGGATGGGGGGGGGGCACTGGCGCCCTCTGCTCAGGAGGGGCTGGAAGCCATCTGCTCGGTGTAGACTTTCCAGGCGGGTGGGAAGGCAGGGCAGGGTCTGCACAGTTTCCGGCCCCTCCTGTGCTTAGGTTCGGGATCTCAGCGGAGGGAAGGAAGTGAGCCCCGCCGGGGACCTGGGGATCTGCAGCTCCTGGGGACCCCTGGAACCCAGGCCCCTCTCCCGCTGTGGGCCTGTGACCTGCTGGGCACACTGTGTCCTCCAGCAAGAGTGGTTCAGGACTGCCTTCGCCATCCGTGTCCCTGAGTGAGACCTCAGGGCCTGGCGGGAGGAGCCCCCAGGATGAGTGACCTTCACCCAGGTTGAGTCCCTGCCTTCCAAAGGGAAGGACGAATTCGGTGGTCGCAGGAGGTGGCACTGGGAAGGGTCTCTGATTCCCCGGTGGCTCCGTGGGTCTCTGGCCTGGCACTGTGGGCCCCTGCCTGCTGCGGCGATGTGGCAAGGACAGAAAGACTCACACAGCCTGCTTCTCAGATGCTTGCAGCCCTCGCTGCGCCGCCATGTTTGTGGTCGGTGTGGAGGAACCCAGCTAAGGAGACTGCAGCCCTGCTCCCGTCCCCGCCAGGCCCTGCCCTGTCCAAGGCCCCCCGGAGAGCCCTGCGCGTGGTGTCGCAGGCAGCAGGGCCCTGGAGCACCCAGCGCCCGGCATGGTGGAGTCTGGAGCCTGTGAGGGGCGGCATGCTGTGCTGGGGTCCGGTCCGGGTCTGCTGCTTGGTGGGGTTGGAATCCCGATGTGTGAGCACCAGATGCGGTGGGTGAGGCCAGAGTGAAGCTAGACGTGATGGCAGATGCCTGTAATTCCAGTGCTGTAGGAGGCTGAAGCAGGAGGATCCAAGCCCCCCCCCAGTTGGGTCTGACAGAAGTCAGTAGAGTCCCCGAGAGGGGCTGGGCTGGACTCTGGGCTCTGAGGCGGCCTGGGCAGGGCTGAGGGCTCGGCAGGGCCTGGTCGGGCAGGGCTGGTGGGCTGGTGTGTACAACAGAGCTCGTTCCCAGAGCAGGACGCCTGCCCTTTTAGGGTGTGTGCAGCGGGAGGTTGCAGTGAAGTCGTGCAGCCCTCATAGCTGTCTCTGAACAGTCACATCTCCCTGGCGGAGCCCAGGCTCACAGCCACGGTCCCCACCTGCCTGGAGCTGTGGCCCATGTCATAGGCTGGGCCTGTGTCCCCGGGATGGGCACAGATGCGCTGAGCACCCTTGCTGAGGGCTGAGGGCTGCGGGTTCAGCCCCACTGTGTGCTCCAGGCTCCCGGTGTGAAGCAGCCAGCGCTAAGGCTGGGGTCTGCAGGTAGCAGGTGTGCGCGGCGTGTTGTCACCCCGTCCCACTGCACCCCACCCCGGGTCCAGGGGTGTCAGTGACTGCCTCATGTTGGTGCCGCTCTTGTGTGGACATCTCGGTGCATGCGGGGAAGCTGGTCTCCTCTCTCCTGGGGGACCCTAGGGGACTCCTCAGTGACTGGACAGGGTCCCTCACTGAGCCTGGTCAGCCCCTGGGCTGGCACAGTGGCACCACTGAGCTGCCCCCTGCAGGCGCCTCTACCCTGTCACCTTCCCGCCAGGCCATGGGGAGCAGCCGGCCTGGCTGCTGGGTGCCGTCCGAGTGCCCCCAGCTGCGGCCTGCAGGTGTGATGGGTTCCTGTGACTTGGGACGCACAGGGCAGTGTGAGCGGGGTCCCAGCCCAGCCTAAGAGCAGGGCGTCCTCATGGCCAGCTGTGCTAGAGAGCCAGGAACCGCCGGACCTGCGCGTGTGGCATGTGCCCCCCCTCCACACAGAGTGTGTGTGTGTGTGTGTGTGTGTGTGTGAGAGAGTGTGTGAGAGTGTGTGAGAGAGACCCGAGCACGTGGCCCCGTGATCTAGATGGGGAAACTGAGACTGTGCGAGGAGGTGCACTGGCTGTCCCGGTGGCTGCGGGAGTTCTGAGCCCAGGCCG